CAATGAGAAGCCCATCCAGAACCTATAACCGAAATTTCAAAAAAATCGGTACAGCCGATCTCGAGCTTTGCGAACAGAAAAAAACGGCTTTCAAAATATATATTAGTATAGATAACAATTTAATCGCACTCAATCACCGCGCCTTTTTCGCTTTCTTTGTTTGTTTTCATTCTTAGGCAGATGCCAAAAACGCTCAGAAATATACTTTTTTCTTGCTTCTTTGATTAGATGATCTTGTATTTTTGGTTCATGACGTAGTACGACATAGATTTGCAAAAAATTAAACCGCTGGTCGCGCTGACGTCAAAATAAAAAGTACGTTCGACATAAAATGTATGTTTTCTTCCTGTTAAAAAGTTTTTCAAGAACAATATATCCAAAACGTTTTCAATGGAAATTTTAGTAACTTAGCACCAGATAACATCACGTCAGATAATTCAGCTGATTAAACATAAAGCAGAAAAGATTTTTACATTTCAAAACTTGGAAACTTAACCTTAAACATTTCTAATATTACTACAAAAGTTTTTATACAAATAGTCTTGCCCAATTCGCAGAGTTTTGCAATTTTGTAATCGAAGTCAAAGTCCACTTCTGTCTTTTGTAACGTCACGCGAGCCCGGAAGGAGTAGGTACTGGAGTCCTTGGGCCCAGAACAAGAATCTCTGTTCCTATGGGGAAATATCCGAGCATCTTGCACGCAGAAGTCTATGCCATCTACCTATGTGCGGAGACAATCATGAGTAGAGGGTACAGAAATGAGAGAATTATAATGTTGAGCGATAGTCAAGCCTCGAAGCCTCATACGAAGTCAAATCCTCCTTGGTCCTTGAGTGCATTGAGAGGCTAAACTCCCTTGGCAGACACAATAACATCATGTTAGCGTGGGTACCCGGCCATAGGGGAGTAGAGGGTAATGAGGTGGCTGACTGTCTCACGGCAGCCATCACTCCAGTTGGCCCACCACCCTTCCTGGGAATAGGTCCCAATACTATAAAGGAGGAGCTTAGGAGAGAGAGGTTCACACAAAGGGATCTAAACTGGCGCAGTTCGGGAGGAATGCGCCAGGCAAAGAGTTTACTGGGAGGGTTTAACAAGAAGAGATTCCAAGGCTTAATAAACCTCCCAAAAGAGAGGCTTAGAATTGTAACAGGTTTTCTTACAGGACACTGCAGACTAAGAGGCCACCTACTTAAGCTGGGCATATGGTCGAATGATCTATGTAGGTTCTGTGACTTGACCAGCGAGACGCCGCTTCACATTCTCACCGAGTGTGGTGCAGTCTGCAGAAGACGTGAGAGGAGTCTAGGCTCGTTGTGGCCACAGCTTGAGCACATCCACTCCCTACCCCCGAAGGCCCTATTGAATTTTCTGAGAGATTTTACCTTAGATCAAGTGATGTGAAGAGAAGAGGGCACAATAGATCACCAGGTCGCGATGCACACCTCATATTAATATCTATCTATTCATTTTAGAAATTTTAATTCAATATTAAAGGATTTGGAGTCTTGTAAATTGGTTTTTATGCGCGTCATTAAAAAACAATCACTGTAACAACCATACGAAGGACCTTACAAAGTTGTGGAAAAGAACAAAAAATATTTCAAACTAGAAATGGAGAATGAAATTAAAACAATTCCGATAGACAGACTAAAAAAGCAATAATTGAAACAGCACTAACATCTAATAAAGACGTTCATAACGAATAACACCTCATCAAATGGGAAACGAGTTAATTTTAATCCGATTCCGATTCGAATCGAATTGCAGAATAGGGCTGATAATGAATAACACCTCATCAAAGAAGAAACGAGTTACTTTTAATGTATAATATATATATATCGTCGTTTAAAGTACAAAACCGCGTATCGTCGTTCTGCAAAACTACGTATCTGACATTGGCTGCCAAAAATTGGATTTGGTCACACAAGCTATTGGCTCAATCCTTATCCATTCGTCCTGAAATATACTAGCCAGAAATGCGATTGCTTTATAAAAAAGAGAATCATTTTGAAATATGCATTCGGATTTTGGCAGCGAGCGTGCGTGGGTCGTGCGCGTCTTATCCTTTTAGTTTTTTGTGCGTGTACCGTTTTGACTATTTTGACTAGTTGGCTTTTGTGACCGCGTGTATCAAACCTTTAATTCGAGTGATTTTTTGTATAAACTAATTTAATCTGGGGAAACATTCTTTGGATTAGCCTTGGCATTTTGTGTACTTTTTCTCTGTGTTTTTTAAAAAAAAAGCTTTGTGGTAGAATTTAGGGCAATTATTCAAGTTGCCTATTAAAACAAGAAAAAAGTGCCGCTAACGGCACTTAAAAAAGCTAAGGCCAGGATCATTGTATAGGCTTACAAGTATGGAAAGCGCCATTTTGTTTGTTTACATTTGAAAACAGCTGAGATCACCTGATTTTCAATTCTCTCATTCTCCGCACAGAGTTACATTCAAGTTTCAGAAAAAACTTTAAAATGTAAATTGAGAAATATTTTAGAAAAATGTGTTTTTATTCATTTGAATTCAATAAAAAAGAAATTAAAAATGCGTGCCAAGTCTTGCATTTCCAATAATAACGATAAATGTGTATGTTCCAGGCAATAATTTAAAATATTTGTGAAACTTATCGTTTTGCGCTAAAATACATCAATGTGTGTGAAATTCGTTGTCATTGCTTTTGTTTTGAACATCATATTCGTGCCTGCCGGTGGAAAAATTAGGTAAATTTGCATTTATTTTTAAGAAAACATATAATTTAATATATATTTCTTTCCAGAGCGACATACGGACAAGGAAGATGATCATCGTTTAAACAAATGGTTTATTTTCTTGTACAAGCAGCCGTGGCCCGAGCAGCGCAAATCGTGGCAGAGAATTATAAGTAATAAGGGAAATAATAGTGCGATAAGAAACTGGAGCACGGGGAAAACTATAATTTACGTCTCTACGCAGCACGTACGCATGTGTGGGTGCATTTGCGATTGTGGCCTAAGCAGCGGCCCGAAAAACCTTACCAAACCTGTTTTTATGTTACGCTTACATCAACGTTATGCCACAATCACGTGCCGCCGCAGCTGCAGCTACTGGCAGAGGCCCACAGGCACTCGTAAAAATTGGCCACTATTTACTGGACACAAGGTAGCAGTAAAGATATTGGACCTCATGCATTAAATGTGAGTTTAAGCTCCAACTCGATTTTCAGTACAAATTCTTGAGCTTAAGCTCACCCCTTTAGTGCAAAAATTGAGTCTGACCTTAGACTCATTTTTTATGCATGAGGCCCATTAAATCGCATAAATCGGTTGAAATGGTTGGAAGTGGACCAACAACTTGCTGCCTTCTCGTCAATTTGGTTACGTTGTGTTGACTAACTCCGGAGGCATTATGGATCTTGAGGAGGTCAGACGGTAACATTTGGGAGGCAAAATGCTAGGATTCCTTTTCTAAGCTGGGCACTGGGTATTCACACTTTTGTTAGTGTATTGAAGCTATTGCAGCTGGCAAGAGCAACATGTTTATATTATTTTTTACAAAAATAAAAAGATGAAAGCCACTTAAAGTAATGAGTAAATTTGCGTGGAAGAAAATAAAGAATGAAGAAATTTGTATTATGAATATCGAGGAAAATCGTTTGCATTAAAATTTCTATTCAAATTTTTATTTGAATTATGACATCAACAGGGATGCTTTGAAACGTATCTTTTGAAGAGAAATTTTTATAATTCTTGTGATTATTGATATTTTCTAGAATTAAAAAAGCTAGTTCATATTAAAAAATATATTTAGACCACCTTGAAACGATTTTAATGAGTATTCATAGCTTCATAGCAGTTACATCAAAATGCATATTTGACAAGAAAGAGTACAAGATTGCCCCGTCATAGTGGCGATGACATTTCTGTACAAAAAGTAAACAAAGCCGAATTGCATGTTAAAAGAAAATATCAGACCAGCCAATTTTCTCAATAATAAATTTTTCGATAGTAAGCGTGTTTTAATTGCGCTGAATTCTAAAAATATATGAGTTACAATGACAATTAATAAGGAAAATGTGAAAAAGCGGTGAATTTCAAAAAAAGTGAATTTCAGTACATTTAAAGTTTCTGATACGTCGTTTACTTTTAGATCAGAATTATCAAAATCGACAAATTCAAAGTAGGGGTATGTCTGACGGTGCCACCTTTGTTCGCTGCATCGTGCATATTGGGCAAATGACGTTTTTAAATGCATTTTACATACAAACATATGTACCAGTTCAAGATAAAAAAAGAAACCAAAATTAGTAATTTTTTTATGAATGTAGTTAAAAAAAGTTCACAGAAGAAATGCCGGTAATCAATCTATCGGCAATCACATAAAATCTATGTAGGGAAATTTAGATGTCAACAGAATAATAACTACAATAAAAAGCACCACAGAAGTGTGAGAAGCAGGCAATTTTTCAATCTGAGCAAAAAATTCTTTAAATGCCGTTGTAAAAAGGTCAATACATTTCTTATAAAATAGTTTGATTTTTGATGGGAGGTATAACTCAGTGAAACGGTTATTAAAGAAAATAAAATTTTTAAAAGTAATAAATAGGAAAAAAATGCACTAAAAATGTGAATTTAAATATTTTACCCAAATTCATAAAAATTAAGAAATCGATTTTTTTTTATAAAAATGTCACTGTACAGAGCTATTTAAATCTATTTTAATTTTTAATAAATAACGTCATTAGCATATACCGTTTTTATAAATGAATCTTGTAGCGTCGCGCTATATACATACATAGGTACATATATATATTTTGGCTGGCGAAATATGTACTTTTGCCAACTAATTAAAAAAGCGTATGATTCAATTTAACCACATTAAAAAAGTATTTAAATATTTTATGGCGCAACACAGCAACACTTTTTGTTTCACGAAACCCTTGAATACGAGCCTGTCACACACTGCCGCCATCATGCTTTTCAGTTTGGCAGGCACGTCCGCTGTTTGGCAGGCACGTCCGTTGTTAGAAAGAGAATAGACAAAAAGGGGCATAGGATTCCATACTTGTAAGTATATACGATGGGCAGGATGGCGTCGCCGACTAAATGGTCGGTGGCGTCTAGAGATGACCAAAATGATTGTGAAAGTGACGAAATTGACTTAAAAAAACATAAAATTATTAGCAACGAAAGTGTTTCTGGATTTTATGAGCTTACTCGCGGTGGTGGGCTTGTAAAATTACAGGAAAAAAATTAAAATGTGCAGGGGACAGTAACTGTACTGCAAAGTCAGGTGCCTTAGATACAGCTAGTTCGAATACCGAAAAAAAGTACAGTTTGAGTCTGTGGTATACCCACAAAACTTCAAAGGTGAAATCTTTGTATTAGTTGACTCGTCAGCTAATACACTGATGGCCAATGAAAAAATGACGGCTGGTTTGACCTTGTTCGGTCAAATTAAGGATTTGCGAATAAAGGATATGGACTTGATAACTGCTATAGGCAGAACCCTATATAAAATTACGTTTAAAAACACTTTTGCGGCTAATAACTTTGTTTGTGATAATCGAGTAATCAAAAGAAATCTAAGGCCATTTATTCCAAGAACCGCCTTGGAACTCTATGTTGTAGTAAGGGGTATACCCACGTGTTTTGATGAGAATGAGATTAAGAATGAAGCTAGGTCTGCGATTACGATACTTCCTGTTAGGCGTTTTACTAGAAACGATACTCTTAGTGACTCTTATGTGCCCACAACAACGTTGAAGATAGGTTTTTCTGGTGATTATATACTATGCGAAGCTCCCGGTAGAATTTTATGTTCCCCCACTTAGACAATGTGACAACTGTGGTCGTATTGGCCACACGAAAATGTCATGCAAAAGCAAGCTAAGATGTCTCATGTGTGGAAAACCAGAATGTAGGGATTCGGGATGTAATGCAAAAGTTTGCATTTTGTGTGGAAAACATGGCCATTCGGCCAAAAATAAAGAGGCTGGTCCGCGCTGGGAAAAGGAACAGATGGTGAATCGCATCAAGACGGTGAAAAAGTTATCGAGGAAGGAGGTGCTAGACCAATATTTCCCGAGGAACAATAGATTCAGCATTTTGGAGGTTGACGATGTGGCGTTTCCACCTCTCAAGTCACAAGGTAGTGAGTTAGCTGATAGAGATGAGAACATTAACAAAAATTTTACTCGGAGATTATACAGTCACACTGCCAGAAGGGGTGCGGCTTTTTCACCTTCTCCACAAACTAAAGAATTACCTAGGCGTACAAGAGCAAAAAATCCAGTTAACCCTGTTTTTAACACCCCTGAATATCAAAAGGGACTTGTATCTGAGTTTGAACGGCTAATAACGGAACTAATTAGTATTACTCAAAAAATTTCTATAGAAAACAATAACACTGAGGTTTTTAATGATATACAATCCTTAAAAAGTCAATTTGAGGCCATAATTGCCAATAGAGATGAGACAGAGATCAGTGGATCATATAACCCCTTTTTGCAAGATGAAGATTCTCCAATATAACTGTCAATCCTTTCGAGCCAACTTAGATTCAATAGAATATTACCTGCATAAATATGAATTTGATTTTGCCTGTTTTAGTGAAATCTTTCTTTCCAGTCGCACTCCGCACCAAAAACTTATTAATTTTAATCTTGTTAAAAAATATCGCCCTGATGGTTATGGTGGTGTGGCAATTGCTGTAAAGAAAGATATTACCTTTAAAAAAATTCCTTTTTCCTCGGTCTATGATATTCTTATCATAGAAACCAAAAATTTAAATCCCAACATCATCATCTGTAGTATATATTTTTCCCCTAATATTGGCATTGGTGACTTCAATAATGAAGTGACCAGAATGTTAAACTTTTTAGAACCTTATAATAATGTGTTTTTAATTGGTGATTTTAACGCCAGAGCAGTTGCCTGGGGTGATAGTATAGATTCCAACCGAGGTAAGCATCTGACGAACATCATCCAAAACTCCGTTTTTAACAGCCTTAATGGTGGTAGTTGTACTTACAAAAGGGACATCAGGTCTGAGAGTGGTTCTGTACTTCATCTTGCTTTCAGTAATAGTTCTACACGGTGTAATTGGTCTGTTGATCCCATTCGAATTGGGGGAAGTCATCACTTTCCCATAACTCTGGATACTAATGCGATAATTAAAACTCCTAAAAGGTTCACGGTTAAAAAGAAGTTACTGAATTCTTTGAATGAGATTCAGTGTGATTCCAATATCAATGACCTGGAGTTTAAAATTCAGGAGGAAATTAGCAATGCAACGTATACCACTAGAAATGATAAAGTACCAAAATCCTGGTGGAATGAGAGGTTAGCCAAAATCTATAGATTCCTTATAATTACTCATAAAAAAGCTAGGCAGATTCCAAGTCCGGAAAACTTAAAAAATCTCATCGAACAGCGTAAAATTTGGAAAAAAGAGGTCAAAATAGCCAAAAAAGAAAACTTTAATGAAAAAATTGATGAGATTAATCATGGCATGGGGAGAAGAGCGTGGAGCTTCGTTAAGGCATTGAGGGGTGACTATAGGCAGGAGAACACAGGTTCTTGGGATGAAGACAACAATCAGCAGTACCTTGATATGTTGAAGGAGCAAGTTTCAGCGCAGGCAGCTAATGAAGAGATTAACCGACCAACGGAGCCTTGTTATGATCTGGCGATTACTTATGAGGAAATTATTGATGTGATTGGCAAAAAGAAAAACACAGCGGCAGGTATTGATCGTATTTCTTATAGCATGCTCAAATCCTTGTCTGATAGGACTCTAAACTCCTTCAGAACAGGCATTAATGATATCTTTCTAGGCAACCAAATTCCGCACTATTGGCGAAAAATTAAAATTATTCCGATTCCAAACAAAGGCAAGGATTTGAGCTGCTTCTGGAATTTCAGGCCAATTTCCCTAATCTCTGTCATGCTTAAAACCCTTAACACTTGTATTAAAAATAGGTTAAATGATTTCCTTCAATCCAATAACATTCTTCCCAATTCTACCTTTGCCTACAGAAAAAATAGATCAACCTCGATTTGCCTAAACCAAATGCTCCATCAAATTCACATCTTTAAAAGTAGAAAATTCCAGGTAATCCTCTGCTCTAGTGACATCTCAAATGCCTACAACTGTGTCGACATTGGCGTACTTAAAGAACAACTCACCAATCTGCAAGTTGACAATCTATACATCCAATGGATTACTAACTTTCTCTCTTACAGAATTTTGCAACTGGGCAACTGTAGCACTGAGATTTATAATGGCCTACTTCAGGGTAGTGTCCTCTCTCCCATACTCTTCAATATCTATACTGCTCAGCTTCACGACCTCAATGATTCAAACTCTTTTATCTATTTGATGATTTTTTGTTCATCTCTGCTGGAAGTCAGTTCGAAGACGCGGTAGATAACCTGCAAGACAAACTATGCCGTTTTGGCGCTGAGTGTAACCTGCTCAATTTGACATTCAATCCAACTAAAAAAAATGTTATGCATGTAACCAAAAGTCCAAGAAAAGAAATTGACATTTTCCTAAGCAACAATAGAATTCCACAAGTCAATGAGCTCAAAACTCTAGGCAGAACGCTAAACAGCGCCATGACTAGCAAAAACCATTATGCCTCCACGGTTAAGGCGGCGTCTGGAAGCATAAATTTCTTTAAATATTTGACTAGTATAAAATCAGGACTTCATCCTCAGAAGGCTTTAATATCTATAAATCCATAGTTCGCTCAAAGATTGAGTATGGTTACACTACAGCTGCCAACAGTGCAAAAACAGCTTTCAACAAAATTACAGTCACTCCCTCAACTCCCGTTTCCACCATCAACGCCATTGCGAATGAGCTCCCACCTCCTGAGCGTTCTCGATGGTTCACTGCAAAAGAGTTGATTAAGATCTTTATCTATAATATTCCTCTAGCTAACTCCATCATAGAAAATCCAGGTTTAAACTAAAGTTACTCGACAGTATACCGACAGTATCAACACATTTTTGACCGTCTTGATGCGATTGACTGCTGTTCCTCACCTCCTAATATTAAAATCTTTCTGAAAACCTTCACAGGCAATAAAGCCTCCTTAACGTCTGAGTGTCTCAAAGCACACTATGCCAAGCTTTTGAATGACTATTTGGCGGATGATTATCAGATCCTGTACACTGATGCGTCTTTAGCGGATCAAACAACTGGCAAGTCTGAACATGCATTTCATATCCCTATTAAGACTTCATCATCCTTTGGTGAGCTACTTGCCATTAGACGAAGCGATTGAAATAGCAAAAAGGAAGAGTTATCACAAACTGGCCATATTCACCGACAGTCTCATTTCTTGTCAGATACTCAAACAACCCAAAACCACAAATAGTATTGCCTGTGGGATTTTCAGAAAGGTATCTGAAGCAAATTTCCTAATAGACATTGTATGGACGCCTAGCCCACGGTGTCCTTGAACCAGATTCAACTGAATCGGTCTGGAACGATGGAATTTCTGATTAGACTATTTTGGGGGAGCGTTCCCGAGTTAGAATACGTGAAGTTCAAAATCGTGGCAGGTGCCGATTTCAAAAACGGTAACTTTTTCGATTTTCAGATAGGTTTTCGATAAGGTTCTAGACGAATGATTATATGTATTTACATACATACAAGTCGATTGTATACATATTTATACATATATGTGCAGGCCCGACTATAGGGTGGGGGTTTTCCCCCCGGTCCCGGACTTTTCCTTAAATTTGATTGGAAGATAAAAATTATAAAATGTTGTTAAATTTGATTATTTAATATTCACATAGCTTTTATAATATCCAATAAATGCGAAAGCGCATGTCTAGATGCACATGGTGTGGTAAGGTCACTTCCATGCTAGTCAAAACGGCCGCCAATCTGGCCTAATGTGAAACATAGAAAGGTTCAGAAGTCAACACGTGTTGTCTAAATGTTGTCATCTCAATGATTTTCCCATGGTTAATCAAACATTTTGAGCTCGAAATTGCAGAGCGACCTTCAAAGAGAATCGAGGGGAAAATCAGAAATCAACAGAAGACGATTTTCTTGCATACAGCCAATCTGAGCTTAAAGGAAGGCTTGACTAAAACCATAAAATCTATTTTACGCATTCACTTGATCCGCAAAACAGTACAGCAAAACAAATTCTGCCTTTAGACGAAAAAAGGACATTCTCCACATATTACGAAAATACTTGGTTTTTTTCAAAAGCCCTGAATATGGATGATAACGTTGGAAGTTCGTTTAAATTAAAAAAAAAATTTCTAGGGTTAGAGGAGGCCCGTCTCATATTTAGTACCGGCCCGGACGGTAATACAAGTTTATATTATTAAATGAAAAGAACTAACTAATAAAAGAACACCTGTAAAGTAATAAGTGTTTATGTTTATGTTTTTGAAACCAGATAAAAGTTGGCCGTTATAAGTGGACCAACAGTTGGCGGCTATTGTAGTAGACGAATACGAAATTCCCCCAGGCTATACATGTATATACATAGATATCGAGCCCTAACTGCCAAAAACGTAAGCGATTTTTTTTTTTCAAAATTTTCTTTTTGATGCAGAAATGCATCTGGATGCTGTAGGAATATTTCTGCCTCAAAAAGAAAATTTTGAAAAAAATTTCCCTTACGTCATTTTGGTGGTTAGGGTTCGATATTGAAAAAATTACTCATATACAGTCTTAGTTATACTATACTTAAATGCGAAAATGTCGGCGGAAAATCGAAAAAGTTACCGTTTTTGAAATCGGCACTTGGCTCGATTTCAAACTTCACGTATTCTAACTCGGGAACACTCCCCCAAAATAGTCTAAACGGAAATTCCATCGTTCTAGACCGATTCAGTTGAATCTGGTTCAAGGACACTGTGAGCCATAAAGGTATACTAGGTAATGAGAAAGCTGACGAAATTGCCAAAGATGGAACGATTAATAGTCCTAGTAGAAACTACAGATCCACGATGGACGAAGCCACCAAACAGATAAAAGATGACATGTACAACATTTGGTATAACTCCTTTTTGGGATACTCACGGGATCACCCTAATCTTTTTGCTGCTACTTTTGGCAATAGGAAAAAACAGACATGGTTCAGGAAACTTTTACTGTCCCCTGCTGAGGTCAAACGGCTGAACAGGGCTCGAATCGTCACATACGAGATCGTATTACTCGTCACGTAAAAACACAGTTTTCGGATTATGACATACGTGAACGTACTTTTTACCCCATTTAGCTTATACGACTGACGGTATCACGTAATTTTCTTTCATATGGTTTTCGACCCGTGAACGGATGTTACGATTCGAGCCCAGGATTTTAACCGGTCATACTTATGACAGAGCATATCTATGTAAAATTCGTGTTTTAAGTACAAATCAGTGTTTCTGTGGACAAGCTGGTGGTTACGTACACCAGACTTTTCACTGCAGGAGACTCATGAATATCAGAAACAATTTCGACATTTTCAAAACCCACAAAACTTTTGGAGAGATTTTTAATGGAAACAACAATGCCAAGGTTACACAACTTTCCAAATTTTTACAAAAAGCGAACGTTAATTTTTAATTACAAACCCCCTTTTGTATTTATGTACAACTCGGTATTTGTAACATTCCAAACCTAACCCATTTCGCTCAAAACCGGATAACCCACGATTTTAAAATATACGTCAATACGTATAAGCCTCAAGCTACTTGGCCACTCGATTTTTAATTCTAGATCGCAACGAGTACTGATGCGCTAATTGCAACTGGCTACAAGCCTTTCGTTACAAATCTTGCCTAACATCATGCAGCAAAGTCTATGGAAAAGACAAAGCCTACGCACATTTAAGCATTTGACAAAAAATACCGTCTAACTACTTTCGAACACACTATTGGATCAGCCCTAGTGTTTTGGACCCACTGAGCTGGCCTTCGTTTTATACCGTCGAAACAACCTTTCAAGAGGAATACCGCAGGGGTATTGTAGGGTTCATAGTTTTATTTCACTAAATGATTTTTTCTGTTTGTAAATCAAAAATAAAATTTGGTTCTTTCTCAAATATTTCTTAAACTGTTGGCAACTGTATTTTATTCAATCTTAAACAGAATTTCTGAAAATGCTTGATATTTTCACCACTACAATACATATATAAGTAAAAGATATTAGAGGTTTTGTTATAATTAAATTGTTTATTAATTTTCATGTTTCCGGTTTGCAATCACATGCGTTACAACAATGCGATTGTAACTGAACCAAACAAAAATCAAATTATTAAAAAAATAATGTTACCTATGCGATTGTGTTGCTTAAACCTAGTTTCTATTTGTTGAAATTAATTTAAAAACGATCAAGTTAAATAGTTTCCTCGGTACACATCTTATTGCAGTTTTACAAGTTGAATTTGTTGCTTTCTGTTCTACCCTTTTAAATTTTTTCTTATAAACTTACATGTTATCTAGCATTATATCAGTTGTCTACAGATATAGAATAGTATAATTAAAACTACAATAAAACTTATTAAAGTTTAATATAATATAAATACAAAATAATTTTCTTTAATTCATGATAAACATTGATTGATGATTCTAATCATTACAGTACTAATTTATTAATTAATTTACATCACCCACTTGTTTTATGCATATGCGTTATTATGATTAGTATGTGTATGTATGTATGAAAACGTAAAACTTGTTGCGTATGAAATTATAGACAAGTACGTACATTTGTATATACTTCAAACTAAGTGAATCGTTATGATATTGTAAATTCCAATTTGGAATTCTAAATGGAATAGCTTATTGGATGTGTTTAAACACATAAGTGTATTTAACTAAATTACTTTTTACAGATTTATAGATGTTTTTATGTTTAAAGAACTAATCTATGTATTTAGTACATCCACTTATCCAATAGTTTCGGCTTGTTCTTTACATTTGTAGAATTATAGTAACTATAGGCATATGACGAGAAATTATATTCATAACACAGCAAAAAAATGTTAGCAGTCAAATGCTTTTAAGTTGGCAGAGAGTTTATGATTGCGGCCGTCGGTCATAGTCCGCTCTTCGGTAATCTGGCGGAAAATCCATGCGATTGTCTCGGGGCCAATCGCCTGCTGACGTATAGCGTGCATCTCCACGATATGGGCCATGTGGTGGTGCAGCTGCTGGCAAACCCCCATTACCCATATAATAGTTGGGAGGCATATGATAACCAGCATATGGAAGTGGGGGTGGCGCATGGGGAGGATGATAGCTGTTCAAAAACAAAAACAAAATCAGTTACTTACAGTTTTAGACATAAAGGAGACAATAATAAAGAATAGAAGAACTACATATTCTTAATTGACTGATTTCAAGAAATATGTCGTTGTTGTTGTTGTTGCAGCGGCTACAACAACCCCGCCCAGATCGGTTGGTATCTCAGTCGTTTTCATCTAGTTCCACTAACGGCAGCCCTAGGAAGCGTGCAGCTTCTATTGGGTTGGTCCACAAGGACAAAGCCGTTAGGGTTGTCGGGTTTTCCGGGCATGCGAAGAGATGTTTCGAGTCATGTGGGGTCTCTCCGCATGCCGGACACTCATTTGGCACATCCTCATTCAATCTACTCAGGTAGGAGTTTAGCTTGCTGCAGTAGCCAGAGCGGAGTTGGGCTATTGTCGTTCGTGTCTCCCGAGGCAGATGAAGCTCCGTCACGTCTATGTCCGGGGCGGTATGCCTAGAACAGCATTCACAGATCTAGGAGTCTACATAACTCGAGACTGACTCCCTGTGAATGCCGTTCAGGGCCAGTCGGTAAGCTGACGGGTCCAGAGGTTGCTTGATGAACCTCTGGACTTTGTCCGTCAGTTCATATAGATGATGTTCGGGCGACATCAGGAGGCATCCTGTCGCTGTCCTGAGTGCGGTGTTCTGTACAGTCTGTAGCTTCGTCCACTGCGTCCTACTAGTCCCCGGCGACCACGCTGGCGCTGCGTAGTTTCAAATATGTCATCGTAATTTCTTCTGTACACATATCAAGCCATAACCGCCGCTTTCTAAAAATATCGTTATACCTATGTAGGGAGGAAGGAGTGGTTAGTTTTCAATATCAAACATTCTCAATGTCTTGCTTAATGACGCTAAAGAAATAAATAGGCGGTGTCATACACATTTTCCAAAATTAATAAGTATATTTTTTGCTAAAGGATTACCTCTTATCACAATTTAGAGCAAGCTGTTCCTGAAATTCTTTGCATTTTTCGAAAATATCGTAGTTTCAGTTTGATTTCGTCTAAAATATTTACCGAGATTTTTACTGGAGTAATCGTGTGCACAGACGAACAGACTGAAATAGCTTAATCGATATCTCTCTTCATTCTGAGTATACATTTGTCTATATTTATATCGCTTACTTGAACAAAATTAAAATACCCTTATGCACAAGTACGCTCGGGTACAAAAATAGTACCATATTCTAAAACAGCCCTGGGCGGCGCCTGCCCGGCGGTCATATTCGCGTATACATACACGTTTTGCTTTAAAAGGTGTTCGCACGAGGCGATTTTGCGTTCAACTTTTCCTTTCAACTCGCGCAGGGTTGCACGAAAAAAAAGTTTAATGGCTAAATGTTGGCTGGCGACCAACTTTGTAGAAAGCGATTAGTTGAAAGGCCGTTCAACCAAAAGTAGAATGCATAGTTGAACAATGCAATCGCCTTTTTATG